TATTTATTTATTTATTTATTTGGTACAGGCTGTTGCTGTGTAGCTTGGACTTGTAGTGATTCTCCAGTCTCAGCCTCCCCAGTGCTAGAATTACAGACATGTGCCACCATGCCCAGTTGTAGTGGCCAGCACAGCACGCTCATGGTTCCGGGACCAACAGGGCATGCAGTGCTGGGGATAGAACTCAGGTCCTTGTGCTTACCAGGCAGGCGCTTAAGCCGCTGAGCTTTCTCCCCAGCCCCTATTTTTTCTTTTTTTACTTATTTATTTATGGTGCAGGAGATTGAACCTGGGTCTTAACATGTTAGGCAATGTGGTACCATTGAGCTACATCCCTTATAAGGTTGTTTTTAAATGAGCAAGACATTGATACTTATTATCAAGTAATAAATGTGATTGTTTTCAAGGTCTTTGTGTCCCTTAGATCTTGAAAAGTTGGCTAAAATGCTTGCCTGGTTCTCAACTCTGTTTTCAAGAGAGCTTTCCTAAGACATGATATGATCTGTTCTTGCATTGAGATCTAATGATTAAGATATTGAACTCTCTCCCAAAAAATACTTGAAGTGATATTTTTGGTGACTATTAAAATTTTGCATATCTTTAGTTATAAAATTTATTATTTATAAAACTTCATATATTTTCCTTTTGATATAATATTGCTTACTTTTGTAATAGATATTTTTATGGTATCATAGTTTCATATAATGGATATATTATTTGTTTCATATCTATTTTTAAATTTCAAAGTGAAAAGTCAGATTGTTGTATAATATAGATATTCTCATGTTATGCTTCTCTTCTGTTAATCAAAGAAGCAAAAAGGAAATTTGAAGAATAACTTCTGTTGATGACCTCATATGTTTTTAGAAATTGGAAGTAAAGATTAGACCAACCAGTGCTAATTTTTACAATTTTCTATAGTAAAAACTTATGTAACTTGACCTTAGTATGGTCCCAGAAAGTCTAGAAACAGCCTTGTTATGGAGACAAATGTGAAGAGTTTATTGCTGCAACAGCAGGAAATGCTTATTGTTTCAGTTGACCTGCACTTTATCTCAGTTGTGTTTTATCTTGAACTTTCATGGAAGTTCAGTTGTACAAGGCCAATTGTACAATAGAATACAATTTAGATTTTTAAAATCTTAAGCTGTTTTCTATTTGGTTGATCTTTTTTTTCCTCTCAGGGGTTTAGCTTGTAGATTAAGTATGATGTTTAGGGTTTAGCAATCAAAGAAGTAATAAACACAGATATGTATCTTTATGCTTTGGCAGCTTTTATTTCCTTTTGCAAGTTTCATAGTTTTTGTCTTTTTAAATCTTTTTTGAAAAGAACCTTCTTGGAGTTTGGTTAGAAAATTCTCATTATGCTAGAACAAAACAACAGGAGTATGCAGTTATTAATTGCTAGTGATTTTTTTATTCTTATGTAATCTGTGTTATTTTAAACAAACTAGCTTTTCTTATTAGCAGTAAAGATTTCATAGCAAAATTGATTTTACCCAATTATACATCTTAGTTTTTGGTGACCCAGTTTAAGGGTAAGAGGGTTGTTTGGTTGCTTGTTAAAATTTATTTGGATTTCTTACCTAAAATATAGTCATTGTTGGGCTCGATAGCATATATCTATAATCCCAGTACTCAGGAGACTGAGGTAGGAGGCCCACCATGAGTTCGAGGTCAACCTGCGTTACATAGTGAGTTCAAGGCCAGCCTGAACTACATAATGAGACCTTGTCTCAAAACAAAATGAAACACCAAACCCCCACCAATAAATAAATAAATTAATTTAAAAAATACAGTCATTGGGCCAGCTAGATGGCTCATTGACTAAGTGCATGCTTTGGCAAGCACAGGGACTAGGGTTTAATCCTGGTCCCGCATGCTGCACCAGGCCTGCCCCAGGGCTTGCTGAGCCGTGACCAAATCTGGGTGTGGTGGCTCATGCCTTTAATCCCAGCGATGGGGAGGCAGAAAACAAGAGGATCTCTGAGTCTAAGCTGTGTAATGAGACCCTGTACCAAATATGTAAAATGAAGAAAAAAAATTTAAAAAAATAACAGTCATCAAGGAACAAGCTCCCTCAACCTACACGATCAGTTAGGCTTTCTGAGTTGCATATTGTCTTTTACTCATTAAATTGTAACTTTCCTTTATAGGATTCTAATATAATCATGGAAAGATTCCCCACAATTGGTCAACTGTTGGCAAAAAGCTGTTCAAATCCTTTTATATTAGCATATGGTAAGAATCCAAGATATGTTCTCTCAACACACACACACACACACACACACACACACACACACACAGATCTATAGGAAAATAGAGCTTCTTATGTTAGAGGGTGGAAACTAAGATAATTTATATAATAATTTTTTTCAGCAGCTACTTTCATCATCTCATTTTTGGCTCATTATGAAATGACTGTACTAATTATACCAAATTAATTTGTTTCACAGTGTCATATTAATTCATATATTATTTCCCATGTTGTAAATAATTCTTCAGAGTCTTCATTCTTTTGTGGGTTTGCCATTATTTAGGGGTAACATTCTGGTTTTATCCAGGGTTGAATTTGGGGATAGTTTGGAGAGAGATTTCTTCACTAACTTTCTCTAACTGCCTACCCAATTTCATTTCCTTTTTATTTGTTTTTATTCCCCCATAGCCACACCACATGCATTGCAGTTGGGGCCTGTTACTGACAGTGCCTTTAGGCACTTGCATCAGAGCCTGGACTCCTGAGATCCATTCCTTTTCCCTCTCTTAGCCATTTTGTAATCTCACATCTTCCAAAGGCGGAGATAGGGAGTTCTCCTAGTACCGCCACAGTCCCCAGAATCCCCTTTATGAGAATACAGTACTTGCTCCACTATCTGATGCCCAGAAAGACAGGAGCCATGGCTTTTGTTTTCTATCATCCTGGGTCCTGATACAGGGTGGCACAGGCACTCATGGAGCACAGATGAGGTATGAGGCCTTGGCATAAGTGTATCACTAGAAGGTAACATATTCTATATGATTTTTTTTTTTTTTTTTTTTTTTTGCGGAACCAGGGATTGAACTCAGGCCCTTGTACTTGCCAGGGAAGCGCTTATTCCACTGAGCTATCTCCCCAGTCCCCGGCCCCTCTATATGAATTTTTAAAGCCAAAGATTATTTGTATAATTAATGACATTGGAACAAAAATAAAATGAATATTCCCTTTGCTTTTTAAAAGTTATAAAGTTTCCCTTTCCTAGTCTATCATAAGAGCCTTGATTGGAAAGGTAAAATACTCACACTTGGGCCTATGAGCCCACATGCTTAGGGGCACTGTAGTTGGGTTCACTCACTGCTCCCCACCTTCATCTGTCCCTATTTGCTGCTGGTTCCTCTTCATCCCCTGCTCCTCACCATGTTCAAGATCTTGATCTAAAAATGGCACAATGAATGTTGCTCGCCAGGGCCACACTTACCTGTCCCAATTTTATACATCCCATCTACACTAGTGTTTCTTAAAGTCTTTACCCGGAAATACATGTGTATGTGTGGATGTTTATTCCTACACATATGGCTATATATACACGTACACTTATATACTCACATGATTAAACACATGTGATCCCTGTTCACTGTGCTATTTGAAAAACTCATGTTCATGACCCAACTATGGTTTCAGTCTCTGATACATTATGTTCAAAAGTTTGTGAAAATGTAGAGCAAGTTTGATATGTTTGTTCAGAGATATTTGTTATTGGTAAAGCATAAGCTTATAGTTGCGGATAGGAAGAAATGGGATTAAAAATCACGGTGTGCTTTGTTTTGTGGAAGAGAACACAGTGGTGGTTTACTCTAGTTTATATTGCTCTCATTGTTAAGAAAGGCTTAGGAAACACCATTGATTAGATTGTAGATTTTAGATCGATCAAGGCAGTTGGTCTGTCAGGTGAATCTACTGAGCCTTACTTCAGTGGCTTTGTTGTGACATCCAGAGCTGCTTAGTTCCAGGTCAGGTACTGCCATCATCAGTTTTTGGACCTCAGCTTGGTTCTTACATTTGTTATAAAATCTCCACCTGAAATAGGTTCAGTCATCCCAAACAGAAAAAGAAGGTGACTCATCAAGTAGCTGTTCTCACCAAATGTTCAGCATTTTCAACATGGATTTGGTTAAATGTTGGAGGAAAGAATTATGAGCATGAGAAGGGGCCGGGGAGATGGCTCAGTAGAATAAGTGCTTGCCTGGCAAGTGCAAGGGCCTGAGTTCAATCCCTGGTTCTGGGAAAAAAAAAAAAAAAAAAAAGAATTATGAACATGTAAAAGGCTTTTAGTTTATAGAAATCATTTGGTACTGGGCACAATTATATTTTAAGGCAATCCTTTTTGTTAAATTTGTTTTTAACAAGCAAAGATATTTAGGAAAATTAGAAAATTGAGATTATTGACTACTGACTGTAGCAGTTATATTACCTTGAAAAAGTTGAAATTACTGATGGTTTGAAATGTGAAATAAAAAACTGATCTTGAGAAAACCAAGTTCTTTCATTTCTTTCCATCATTCTCCTTTGACTTTAAAAACTGCTGCTGTTACAAAAAAAGAATTGGCCACACTAGGGCAGAGTGTAAGTGATCCTGAACCCACAAGGAGAAAAAACCCACAGTTAAGTTTCACACATGGTCCTGGATGCTTGTTCTGTGAATTTAGTAGTTTGAGATTTTTTTTCTTAAATATGATTTAGAAGTTTTTATACAGTGTATTTGCTTTTTTTTTTCTACTTGATAAAACTTATACATTTTAGTTTTCCTTTTACAGATGAAAGTCAAAAGTTTCTGATATGGTGCTTATGTTGCCTGATTAACAAAGAACCACAGAATTCTGGAGACTCAAAACTTAACTCCTGGGTACGGGTAAGAGTAAATCTTGCTCAACACTGCTCTTAGGTAAACTGATTAAAGTTGCTACTCTTTCTTTTCCTTTTTAGTCATATATATATATATATATATATATATATATATATATATATAAAAATTTTTTTTTTTTTTTTTTTTTTTTTTTTCTGGCTGGCTCAGGTTGCCTTAAGCACGGGTCTGGTGCAGCATGTGGAGCTGGGGATTGAACCGCAGTCCCCTGCGCCTGACTGAGTTTGCCCAAGCAGGCGCTTTAAACAACTGCAGTAACCTGCAAGCCCTGATGTTTTAAAAACTTTTTCAAGCATACCTTCACAGTTTACATTATCTTGCTGAGAAGTTATCCAAGAAACTTCAGTTCTACAGGAATATGAATTCCAAATGATGTCAGTCCTTATGTGGATTTTGCCATGCAGACAAGACTAATAAGGCCACTCTCTGATAAGTAAAAGTATGTACTCCATTTCTTTTGCAATTGCTATACTTTGAAAAAGAATCTCTCTCTACCAGCCTTGTTAAAATCCTTACATAATTCCTCTCCAAGTGTTCTCTGCCTCTCTCAGAATCTGTTCTGTACTGAGTTTAGCATTCAGAAGTACCGGGAGAGTAGTAGTCTTCCTTTCTTGTCCTGATGTTGGTACCTGTGCCAGCCTGCTCACAGATGAGTACCTGTTGCCACTTGACCACTGCTGCTCACATTGTCTAATCCTTATCTGTGACACGAGTTGATAGCTGACAGCTGCCTGTATTCCCTCATCTGTTTCAGCTTCCTCTGGAAGGAAGGGTGAAGTGGAGGATGTGGTAAGACTGGGGGTAGCACCTACCTGACTATAGCATGCTGGCTGTTTTTTACTTTTATCTCAGTCCTGATGCCACCCCTCAAGACTTGGTGATACAAGGTTGAGAGTGGAAAGTACACGGAAATCTAGTGGTGGAAGCCTACAGTAAGTCTTGAGTGGTGGCAGCAGGACAGTGGGGCAGCAGAAAAGAACAGACTGGAGGCAGGCTCCACTTAGTATGCATATGGTTCTGATTAGTTGTTTAGATTACAGCAGTCACCCAGCCTCTGCTCACCACTGTGTCTAGCAATTTGACTGGTGGTATTGTTGCATTCACTATATTTTATTGTTGCAGTCACCATATTTTATGACTCCTTTGTTTTAAACAAAATTATTAACAGAGATGACAACACATATTTGTATTTTTCCATTAGATTGAAAGAATAGAAGGGACATGAAAAGTAAAAAGGATTGAGTAATGAAAGGAAAGAACATAAAATCTAATTTGAAGGAAAGTTAATGTAAAAGGCTGAAGAAAGGAATTGACGAGCAGGATTAGAGAAAAAGGACTCTATAAAAACAAGGCTGTAGAAATTGAATAATAAATTTATCTATCGTTTTAATTGTTGCTTTTATTGAGTAATATTTAAAGACTATTTGGCATATAACTTTGTATTTACTAGTTCATTAAGTCCCAAAATAGTTCATCTAATTAAGTGCTGTTGAATAAATTGGTTAATTTTCTTCATTTAGCTCCTGACTTTATTAGTCTATTTAAAAATTTCTAGCCTTGTAGTTTATTCTATGCTTTTCTTTAATTTTGTGCTTACTTTTTAATAAATACTTAAAAGTAGTACAAGGAGGTGAAATTTAAAAACCTTATTCCTATTTCTTAGAAATTTACAGATGAGTAACCAGATCACAGAAAGGCAGTGTGGCTGGGTTGCTGGGAGAGCTGTGTAGAAGTGATAGGGACACTTGTTCAGACCTGGGGTTTGGACATAATTTCCTAGGGGGAACATACTAGCTGAGTTCTGAGGGTTGGCTAAGGGAGATACCAGATAGAGTTAGGAAAAATATTTCTGTCAGCAGAGAGAAAGAATATACAAAGCATGGTGGTAAGAAAGTAAATGTTGTATTCAGGAAACTGCAGATGCTTGGAAATGTCTAAATTGGAAGCTTTGTGGAGTTGAGGATGAAGCATGACACAAGAGAGAGGGCCACACCCCAACCTTATGTATGATTATAAGACTTTTGAAAGCAGTGGGAGAAGCCATCAGAGTATTTAAGAAAAAAAAAATCTTATGACCAAGTGTGAGTATTAAAAACTAACAATAAAAGGATATTGATTTGGATGAGGAAAGGGGTAGCATTTTGGAAGCTAATACAGTGATTGAGGTAAGAAATCATGTAAGCTTAATTGGCATAGAGAAGAGGAGCAAGATTTAAAAGATATTTTATTAAATAAAGTAAATATCCAAAGGACATAATGGGCAGATTACATGCAAATTCAGGGAATTGTTGAACGTACTATTCAGTGGAGCTATTCAGAATCATTGAATGTACTATTCTCAAGACAGTGAACTGGGGCTGGGGGAGATAGCTTGGCGGTTTAAGCACCTGCCTGGCAAGTGCAAGGACCCGGGTCAGTCCCCAGTACTGCATGCCATGTGGGCCCAGGAACCCAAGTGCGCTATGCTGGCCACTGAAACTGGGTGTGGTGGTATATGCTTGTGATCCTAGCACTGGCAGGGTGAGACAGGAGGATCACTACAAGTCTGAGCTGTAAGGAACCAAGGAGATGGCTCAGTAGAATAAGCGCTTCCCTGGCAAGCACAAGGGCCTGAGTTCAATCCCCAATTCACAAAAAAAAAAAAAAAAACAAGTCTGAGCTGTGTAGCAAGATCTTGTACCAAATGAATAAATAGATTGAAAGATAGATAGATTTAAAAAAAAAACAAACCAGTGAGCTGATTTGCTGATAGGTTGAGTGGAGAATAGACAGCAATCTAGTAATGGAAGCCCACAGAGGAGGAGATACTAGAGCCTTGGGTGTCATTAGTAGGAAGTAGAAGGATGAGTCCAAGAAGTGAGAGAGAAAAACAGTGTTTTAAGAAAGTAAGTGGCCATTCACATCCAAACCTGTAGAAATGCTATCCAATAGAAATATAATACATAATCCATAGGTAAAATTTCCAATAACTACTTTATGAAAAGATCTTATTAAATATAATAAATACAAAATCCCACCATTTCAACTGAAAATAATAAAAACTATTGAGATTATAATCTTTTTTCATGCCATATCTTTGAAATCTAGTGTGCATGTTACATTTATATCTATACATCACACCTTAATCCAGACACTAAATTTTCTTAAGAAATTCTTAATTCATATTTAGATTTCAGAAAATTTATGATTCTACCCATTGTTCCAAATGCTTAGAATCAAATCAAGTGTCAGTTTTAATATTTAATTAAAATTAAATTAAACTAAAGATTCAGCTCTTGCACCATACCTTATTGCATTGATGTGCTCAGTAGTCACATGTGGCTGGTGGTCACTGTATAGCACAGGGCAGCCAGGACCATAAAAGCAGAAGATTGAAAAGCACTGTGTGGATGTAGCTCTTAAAGGAAGGGCCTTGGGGAGAGTAGTTTTGATAAAGGGTAAAGGGCAAATCAGAGTGCACATTAAAGAATATGGGGAAGTGAAGTAGAGATGATAAATTTTAGTTATTCTTTCAAGAAACTTAGTAATGAGAGAGTTCAGTGCTAAGCTAGATCTTAGAGTTGTGGTGGTAGAAACTGAGAACATACTCAGTATGCTTTTACTCAGAAAAACGTGCTAGAAGGCAGCAGTTGAGGGCTAAAGAGGTGAGGCAAGAATTTGCCCCATCATTTTACTGGGCAAGCCTTTTCTGACACATAATGTGAACTGATGAAAAAGATATATAGGAATAGCTTTTGGCAATCTAGAGCTAATTTCATATACTTATCGTGAACACCACATACATAATCTAACCATGTTGGCCATGAATGCAGCAAGACAGAAACTAGTTTGTTGTTGATTTTTAAATCAATGATACATATCTTGCATTTACTATATTTTGTCTTTTAGGTGATTTTTTTCTCCATAAATTTTTAGAATAACATAAGGCTCTAAAAGACGTGCAAGTTCTCAGCTACTATCCTTATGAAGATTTTATTAGTCATAATTTTATTAATATTTATGTTAGTCAATAAATATTTGATACTTTTTATGTGTTAGAATGTTTGGGTTTGTTTGTTTGTTTTTAGAGACAGGGTCTCAATTGTAGTGCAGCATGGCCTTGAACTCTTGGATCTTCCTGCCCCAGCCTCTCCAGTGCTGGGATTATAGCTGTGCATCACCATGCTTAGCTAGAATGTTTTAATTGTAGTCACAAAATCTTAGGTCAATCTGTGTTCCTGGGGAAATGTAAGTGTGATTAAAACAATTAAAATAAAAAACCAGAGGTTCTTCTATTGATGATAAAATAATTACATTACTAAATTAGAGTATAAAATCAGATTATAATTAAGTTTGAAAATGTTTGGCTGAGTTGTATTTTAGCACACAGAAGAAAGAAGAATTGTTTGATGCTTAACATGTTAGCATGTATTATGTTGGAAACATGTTACTAATTTTATTTGGAGTTTTGCTGGTAATCACAGATGTGCATCAACTGACATGGCCTCAGTGTCTACTCTTACAGTTTAGAGATGGCTTAAAGTCACAGGACTCATTCATTTGCTTGCAGAATGTGTGATTCTTGGAAAATTTAGTTTTATTGGTCAGTCTAATAAAAGGATACTTTTTGAGTATCTATTTACTGTTTTATAGGTACTAACTATGACAGAGGTAAGGGTATAGCATTGGAGCTTGTTGTAGTCAGAGTTGGTAAGGGAATAGGTTTAATACAGGTCACATTATTTATTTATTTTTGCATTTATCACTTAGAAAAAGCTATCAAGTATTTTATTCTACTTTATATACATCATAAAAGGCCACATCAGTTCTCAGTATATAAACCCTTTAAAAGTAGAGGGTACTGGGAAGGACAGACAAGTATCAAATGAAATCCCATAAGGAGGGCACACACGCAGTGCAGTGATTTGGAGGAGGAACAGGCAGATACCAAGCCATCCACACTTAGCTTGCAGCTATAGCTATACCATGGGTTTTACAGTCCTCTTGGA